TTACTCTTATAACACACACACACATGGTTTCAAAGTGCGGGGCGTGATTTTGTACCATCTGATTCACTGTCCGGCCCGCTAACATCTAAGCAATGCCCAGCCGTTTTTGTTTCTAAACAATAGTTTAAAGTGTTTAATACCCTGAAAAAAAATATTAATATATATACGTATAAATATGATAAAAACTAAACATATATTTTCGTTTAAAAAATGTAATAAACAATATATGCGTGAGTGACTTGTTTTTAATGACAACACAACGTTAACATGGGGAAACTAGGATATCACAAGGCTCGATAAATCACAAAACAATAAACGCCAGGTCTTTTAGAAGACAGTACTTCCTTCTTCTCTGGCGACTTTTTGGTTATTAGTAGTAATATCAAAGATAAACTCACGTTTATTTACAGCCTAAGGTTGTTTGTTTATTTGTTCGAATTTCGCACAAAGCTACTCGAGGACGCTATCTGTCCTTCATTTATAAGAAGGAAGGAAGGTAGCTAGTCGAGAACATCTGCCGCCAACTCTTGGTTACACTTTATTAACTACAAGTGGAAATGAATAACGTCCCACATATTCGGTGACGGACTCGAACCCGCGGCCCGCAGAATACGAGTCCAGTGCCCTAACCACTATCACGTGCCACACTCGCACAGCCTAAGGATTAGTCATCATTTCAGTATTGACCGTAAAACATAAAGGCGTATATTAATGGCACGTTTTTCGTTATTGAAATGATTGAGAGAAAGGTACAGAATTCAGTGTTCTCTGAAAATCACCTCATCCTAAAAAATCTGCGCCCTGTATACATAAGATACTCCTTTTTTTACTTTCACACACGAGAGTGAGATAAATTGTTCAACACGCCATTGGCTGTCTTTCTCTCGATCATAAAGATCAATGTAACTACCACTACACAAATACAAACGTACTCGGTTCTTCTTATAAGACCTCAAGTTACGACAAATCAATGATGAAAAAAAAAAAAATCGAACAATTCTGCTCCACAACTACAGACCTTTATCCAATCCTCCTACGCGTTTAAATACGCAAGAAACAGTCGCCCACGGAAATTACATCATTTTTTCCTTATAAAAAATGATGTTTAGCACTGCTGTCATGGCGTCTTTTTTGTGATTTTTTTTTCAAATATTCGTTTAATTCTAAGAGCTACGGTTTTGTGATGATCTAAAACAGGTTCCATAACGCACAAAAATTGCAGGTAAGATTCTTTATTCTAAGTATGTAGTACAGATAAGTCTCTTTACATTAATATTATAAAATGTTAATTCATTTGAGCATTTCCTTAAAATATTAAACTACCAAATGTGTCATAATAAATTCAAAACTGGTCTAACACACTTGGGATAAAGTTCTTGCTATTTACAGGACTGATAAAACAAGTTAGCTGCGGTGATATTTTTCTCAGTTCTATTACGTTTTCTCACAACGGTTTTACATTTTGTTTCTTAATAACACGATTTATTCATAAAACGTTACACTTGGAAACAATAAGGGGGGGGAGGTTCACGTGGTACGTTAAAGTTTATAACATACTTTAAAAAGTTCTAATTCAAATTTATGTTTAAATAAATTCAGCATTTTTTGTCAATAACTACATGTACGTTACCTTCATTTGAACTATAAATATAATTTTCAAATTGGAACTTTGTATTAGAAAATAAGTGTAGGAAACAATGATTAAAAAAATGAATAAAACTTATTAAATTATATTTTATGTAAAACAATATGTATCACAAATTGAATATAATTCAAAACTCATAACGAACTTAGTAGCTTTTAGTGAAACAAGTCATTTCCCCGAAAGGGGGCCAAAGACCGACTGAAGGGGTCACCTGTTTAAACTACTCTACCATTATACAATATTGTGTTGTCTGTCAGTCCCTAAAATGACGTCACATAAGGGATGCTTAACGTTGCAAGTTGTACTGTCGTGACGTATGTAAAGCGTGAGCATGCCATGAATCACGAGAAGAATTATGCACAACACAGCATGACATATGAACTTCGAAAGCAAGAAATAAAAATATTTGTTACTCATAATTTTGGTTTTATTTACTCTTGAATCAGAACACTTTCGGGACACTGGAAAAGTTATATTGAGTATTCTAGATAAGCAACCAGTCCTTTCATATCAGCAATGATCTACAAATAACTTGTCACCTTTTGTACGAAAAAACTTAAAGTATAAGTCAACATGCATATCATTATACAGTTACTGATTTATACCACATTTATTTTATACATCTATATGAGCGATATCCCCTGTTAATAAGCTGGTCAAGTGTTCATGTTATTTCCTTTAATTCTTTCATAAAAAGAGATAAGAGTGCTTTATTAAATTTTTACACAGCTTTTTTTGCCTTAAAAATTTACTTTAAATTTATTAAGTAAACTTCAGTATTCAAAATACATTTTCAGTCAAAAATATTTATTCAAAGAAAACGTAATATAAATACAAAGTTTCTTAAATTTCCATTACAGCAGGTATATCTTAAAAACAGGACAAAGCTATATAGAAATGTATTCACTTTTTAAATTAATAACTATAAATGGGTAACAATGAATTAGAAATATTTTACAAATATGGAAAACTAGGAATAACAGTATTTGTAATTTATCAGAGCAGAAACAGATATTGAAATAAATGAGCAATATACTTAAAATCAGTTTTCAAAAATTTGCATATGTATATATAACCAAAGCATGATTGTAAAAAAAATAATTAATAATAATATATATATATATATGACTGATTTTTCAGACTAAACTTATTTTTACTCCATACAAAATATACTCAAATATCATAGTCAAATAAATTTTCTTAAAACAATAAACTCTTATTTTACAAATATCAAAGCTATTCGTTCAGTGATGCAATTCAACCAATTCAATAAAAACTTCCAAAATGTCTATTACTCCCTAATGGTTTTTAGAGAATAAAGATGATGATTTATTTATTATTAAATGTGAAAATGGTTAATCCTTATAAATTACATATTGCCATTATTAACTCTGATTCTCTCAAAAATTTAACAAAATAACAATGAGTGAAATCTCGTTCAAAATTTAAAATATGAGAGCCACATCTTGTTTTCCGTACAAGTCGAATGATTTTCTTAAACTATTTTAAAGTTATTTTCTAGTTCAAGATTTTCTGTAAACATAAAAAAGATATTTGTACATTGTTTCATAAGATTATTATGCATTGACTTTTTTTTTTTTACATCCCTAGAACATATTGCCTTTGTTAATGTATGTTTGACTTTAAAGTTTTAAAGCTAGTTTATACATGTTCAATTCTTATTGGTAACAAACATCAACATTTTGATCTTGGTGTTGAGAGATGAAAAAGTTTTGTAAAAAACTTAAAACTTGATTGGAGAATTCTGTGGACTCCATCTGCTGAAGAAGTTTTTGGACAACATTTTGAGCTGTTATTACAGAACTTCAACAAGTACAGTCTTCTCTAAACTTTCTCTTAAATAAGAACCCTCAACTTGTTTTGAAAGTAAAGAAAAGCATATTATGCAATATAAAGAAATGGAAAAAATTGTCTTGTGTCACTTATATATACACATGCAAGCACCTTTATATGATTTCACAATGAAATAAGAGTATCTGAAAGTTAAATTATATCTAGTATTTATATCCGTATTTAGATTTATCTATGTATTAAATTTTAAATATTCAATATGGGTCTCTATGTGTTATTTTTTGATTTAAAACTTAACTGTATGGATTAGCTAAAGACATTCTAATTTAAAATGTAACTTTCAAAGAGTACACTAAAACATCAATTGATAATATCTAAAAATCACATTTAAACATTTTATTGACCACTTTATTTATATCAGTCTGTAGATATAAAACATAGGAAACCAAGCTATATTTGTTTAATTCTAGTCTTGATCCATTTTATTTGAGCTTTAGTAAAGAACTGTTAATACACTTATAAAGCTGGAAAGTTTCAAAACCTCTTCAGTCAGCTAATCTTTAATTATTTAACAATAAAAACACACACACACACCAGGAATAACAGACTTTTTTAATTAAACAAAGGATTCTCAATAATGAAGTTTGCTGCTGCAGTTTGATTGGTCTCAATTTTTAGTTATGCAGTCACAATTATTTGGACAAACCTTTATATTTTGGGAATATTTGAACTTTCAGCTGATGGAACAATGAGAAAAAGTAGCTATAATGATCAAGATAAATCATGTCAGTTTAACCATATAAATTACTATTGATCAAATATTCTGAAATTAATTTTTTTGAGATTTATTTCAGTTAAAATGCTAGTCTAAGGTATCAAAGCAATTCATTCAATAATAATTTTGCACAATATTTTTAAAACATGAGATTACTTGACCGGCCTAAATGACCTAGTTCTAATGGCTTATAATAGGAAATGGACAGTTTAACATAATTAATTAGAATATGTAAAAAAATATAAACACAAATTTTATTCTTAAATAATCTTTCAAACAATTATATTTATTGACCTAATATTAAAACTGTAACAACTTAATGAACTCCAAACCCAACTGTTAGAACTTTCCTGAACAATGAACACTACTGAATAATTACAGTACAGATGATATACAATTCAACCAACAAAATATAATTACAATAAAAGAACGAGGTTTGAGAAAAATATTTTTTTAGTTAAAGAACAAAATTAAATTAAGTTGATTTTTAGATTTTGAAGAAAAGCACTTCAAGTTTCATTATAACTTTTCTAAGATTAAATTTTGTGACAAGAATAAAATGTACATTTTCAACTTTACGGTATTAAAAAAAATACTATAATGTATTTCTTTAACAAAAACATTTGTTCCTTTAAAAGTTATCATAAAAAATTTATGATAGAAACAAACAGGTAAAATTTATATTGTCGTAACTTACATCTA